TTAATCTCTCCAAGGAGTGTATCTACCTCAGGTACATATTCAACTCATATGCCTGTCTTTTGTTTGGTGTGGGTTCAATTCTAGACCTGAAGGGCAGCTAGAGGCCATAGTCTCATGGGTTCCACCAGGCTCTATCAGACCAGCAAACCTGGTCCCTGCCCCCCTTTTTTTTCCAAAATGATTTTGAGTTTTGTTCCACATTGTTCTTCCTCTCTATCCAGGATCTTCTATATAGATCCCCCTCTGAGTGGTTGATAGCGGTAGCCAGGCACCATCTAGTTCTTCTGGTCTCATAGTCGTATAGGCTGTTTAACTCTTATGCCTATCTTTTGTATGGCTGGAAGCCACAGGTTTGTTTAATTTCAGACCTGAAGGGCAGCTAGGGGCCATAGTCTCAGTGGTTCCATCAGGCTCTATCAGACCAGCAAACCTGGTCTTTTTTTAAAAAATTGATTTTGAGTTTTGTTCCAATCATTCTCCCACTCTATCCAGGATCTTCTATATAGATCCCCCTCTGAGTGGTTGACAGTGGTAGCTGGGCACCATCTAGTTCTTCTGGTCTCATAGTCATATAGGCTGAGGATCGCATGGTGTACCAGTCACTTGGACTAACTATTTCCATGAATCTTTGGTTTTCTTCATTCTTCTTTGCTCTGGACAAGGAGAGACCCATCGTTGCATCTAGATGGCTGCTTGCAAGCTTTTAAGATCCCAGTCACTACTCACCAAAGTAGGATGTGGAATAATGTTTTGTGTAGTGTGTTATGCCAATTGAGGTTGATGTCCTTTGCAACTATGATTCCAAGCCCACAGGTCCAACTACTCACTCCTGTTAGGTAGCTGGCTATGGCCAAGAAGTGACTACAATCTTGTTCCTTGTCAGCTCTACTATATACCTGGAAATACTTACAGAACATACAAATACACTTGTAGAAACATTGTCTGCCAACCCTATACCTGGTCATGGGCACACTCCCCACTACATAGACATACTTAATCATTCAGCCTGTCCACCAATCTATTCACCCATAGATCAATGCCAAACCTGTCCATTTCTGGGGGAAAACAAAAAATATTTCTTAGGATGAGATCAAGAGAATCACCTTCAAAACCTTGTGTATGGGAGCTTGACTTTGTCCTGGGCAGTTTCAGGAGGAAACAAACTGGCCAGGACCAAGAGTGGGCAATTCAGAAGCCCAAACTGAGGATGAGTTTTGAAACACAAGAATTATTACTCAATAGTAGAAACAAGGAGCTCCTTGCCCTTGGAATCCTGGGAATCACCTATTCCTTCTTCCTTCCCCTGCCCCTGAAGCCACCTGCTGAGGGGCTGTAGAGGTGCTTCTTGCTAGACAGAGGGTTGGATAATGAATTCCCTCTGCCTAAATGCCTATGGATTCTGTGTTTAGAGTAACTGCCCAGATTTACTGAGCACTTACTATGTGCCAAGCACTGAGCTAAGCCCCTTATTGCCATTTCATCCTCACTAAAGCCATAAGCCTGGTCTCCACTTCTCAGAGAAGAAACTGAGTCACTGAGCAATGAATAACTTGTTCTCACAACTAGTAGGTATTATGGCAAGGATTCAGACATGGGCAGTCTGGTCTGGAGCTTATGCCATTATCACTGCACCATGCTGCCTAGAAGGTAGGTTAGCCTGTCTTGTCCTCCCCTAGCTCAGCCTTAACCAGCTACATTTTCCAACTGGCCTCCCTCACTATCAGGGTGAGAACTGCCACATCAGACCCTGCAGTGTGGCAAGAGGTTGGTTGATAGGCATGGATTCCACAATCACATTTGCAATTTCTCTTGCTTCTTGTATCTCTCAGATTTTTCAGACCGCCACTGCCCCTCCAGCTTTAATCCCAAAGAGAGAGGGGAAGGAAAGAGGGAATGGGGCTGGCCTAGATCCTACCCCCATGGCCTGACTTCCACATGGCTGAGCAGGAATTGGGAGCAAGCAGGCACAAAGGAGGGCTTTGATGCGTCTCCAGCCTGACCCAGGGCTCTCCCCTCACCCCCTGGAGCTTCGCCTGCCCTGCTCTGGGCCTCCTCATGAGCCCAGATTTAGCGGAAAACTGTGGGCGGTGAGAAGTTCCTTATGACACACTAATCCCAACTTGCTGACTGGACCACATGCCTAGCAGAGGCAATCTCCAGGAGGACTCAAGCACCAGGTGGTCCCAAGGAGGAGCTGCTGACTTGGTAGGGTAAGTCTGTTCCAGGGGCCTGCCTGGACAAGGGATCCTAGGATTGGGGTGAGGAATTGGGGCTGGAAAGACTACATCCCAGGCTGTGATGGAGCTGAAACCAACTGGCCGTTCTCCATGTTGAGCCAGACCAACTTGAAGGCAGATTTAGCAAATAAAAATAAAGGATACCCAATTAAATGTGAACTTCAGGTAAACAACAAATAATATTTTAAGTATAAGTAGATCCTAAATGTTGCATGGGTCATACTTATGCTTAAAAAAGTGTGTGTTGTTTACCAGAAATGCACATTTAACTGGACATTCTTGATTTCAACTCGTAATCCTAAAAACCAAAAACTCATTGCTGTTGAGTCAATTCCAGCAGGAAACAGGGTTCAAATGAAGCAAGGGGTGGACATTTTTTTGTTGTTGTATTCAGTGAATAGCAATGAAATCAATATCTTCAGAAATCAGAGTTAACAGCTTGAGCAAATGTAGAAAAGAGTTGCTGCACTAACTTTAACCTTCTGTTTCTAAGAGTATGGAGTTGGAATTCTAGGATCTTGTCCCAGTGATCTGCTTAATTGGCTGGGGTTAACCAGTCATTCCTCCTGTTTGAGCTCTTTGGGGGTAGTTCTATCATCCTCTCATTACTGTTCCAACAAAACCTAAGTGAGAGCACAGCAGAATTTCAGTTTCTGTGCCTGCATCTTTGGAAGTCTATCGGCCAGAGAGATGACTTAGATTTGTTCCTGTTGGTGAATTCCAGCCCCCACACCTTCTCTGCCCTTGCTAGGGCTAAGAAGTGGGAGAGGCAGGTGATGAAATATCCTCAGATATTGCTTGAGATAGTTCAAGTCTCTTAATGCAAATTGGAGTACAGATCAGTATGATGCTGAGGAAAGGAAAGGAAGGGGAACTAGGTTTTGGACAAAGATGTTATGCTAGGCACATACAGAAATTATATTATCTCCATTACAACTCCATTTAGTAAGTGCTATTATTATCCCCCAAGGTTCCTGGGTGGTACAAACGGCTTGCACTTGACTAAAAGCTTAAATGTTGGCAGTTTGAACCTACCCAGCAGCATTGCGGAAGAAAAGCATGGTGATCTGCTTCCAAGAAAGCTAAGATCTGCAGCCAAGAAAACTGAGGAACCATTTTATTCTATAATATATGGGGCAGCCAGAGTTGGAATTCACTTGATGGCAATGGGTTTATTATGATCTAGAAGGTGTCCCTGTATGGATAAATAATAAAGCACTTGGCTAAAATCAACAGGTTGGTTGTTCAAGTCCATCTAGAAGCATCTCAGAAGAAAGGCCTGGCAGTGGTCTACTTCTGAAAAATCAGCTTTTGAAAACCTTATAGAAGGCAGTTCTGCTTTGACATACGCAGGGTCTCCAGAAGTCAGAATTGACTTGATGGAATGGATTTAGCTTTTTTTTGGGAAAAGTTATTATTCGCAGTTTGCAGATGAGGGAACTGAGGCTCAGAAATGTTAAATGACTTGCCTAAGGTCACATGGGTAGTTAATGACAAAGCCTGATTCCAATCTAGATGTCTCTGACCCCAAAGAACTTCTATTAATACTACTTTTCTTTCTAGTTTGTGGATATGTCTAGGCTGTAGTGTCAAAGCAGACTTGGTGTCAGGCAAACATAAGTCCAAGTCCCAGATCTGCCACATTGCAACTGTGCCTAATGATGGAACTGATCAACAGAACCTGATTAGATGTGGGAGGAGGATGGTGAAGGGTCCTTGAAGGAGCTGGGAAAGTTTAGCTAGGGGAAGGAGGGCCTGGAAACAGGAGAGCTATCTCTAAAAATACTCAGTAGGTAAGCACATTGTCACTTGGGCAGTGGATGAGATTTGCTGTGGTGGACAAGCACTGCTTACATGTACATTATTTAATTAAATCTTTATAACCTTTTTATCCCCCTTTTATATGGGAAAGCCAAGGCTCAAGTTAAATCACACACAGCTTGCAAGAGGAAGAGGCGGGATTTGAACCCAGGCCTGACTTGCATCTCACTGGCTGCCTCTCTTTGCTGACAGGAAGTTACATCTGGGTTTGAGTCCTGCTTCCTTGTTATTTCTGGCTATGTGACCTTGGGCAAGTCACTTATTCTCCTGAACCTTTTCCTCCTATGTGGAATGGGAATAACAATGCCAGCCCTTTTTTTGACACAATAATTGTTGTTGTTGTTGTGTGCCGTCGAGTCAACCCGACTCATAGCAACCCCTCCTTGGGTTGCCGAGGCAGTAGCACTAAGGAAGTAGATTGCCCAACCTTCCTTCCGAGGAGTGGCTGGTGGTTTTGAACCGCCAGCCTTCTGGTTAGCAGTCAAGTGCCTTAGGCACTAAGCTACCAGAGCTCCTTAACATAATAATTAGTACAGTACAAAGCACAGAACACACACCCAGTATTATAATTATGTAACTGGTAATCACCCCTCTAGAGAACAAAAGCTCTCAGGAAAGGCCAGTCCACTAGCCTGGGAAGTTTCCTTGGGCTGGGGAACGAGGGGGCAGACGGGAGGGGGAACAATTTGGGGAATTGGCTCAAACGGGCCCTCATCCTGCAGTGATCCTATAGCTGAGATCACATAGTGTTTTCCTGGCTGAGTCCTCATCTTAAGGGCTGAGGTTTGAGGTATTTGTGTGTATACCCTTTCTCAAAGCAGTGTTTCCCAAAGTGTAGCCCAAGATTCTGGGCTTTTCTAACCGATGCTGTAGATGTACTCTCAAGTTTGAAATCTATTGTCCTGAGACTATAACAGAACATTTTCTCTAATACCACTGCAGCCTTGACTTCCTGTCCTAGGGAAGGGGCTGCCTGGAGGGGCCAGAACAGAGGAAGTAGAGCCCTTTTTCTCCCAAGGACTCAGTTTTTTTCAGAAGCAACATGTCAGAGGGGGTGAGTATCCCTGGGCCCCGGGCTCTCCTTCACCCACTTTTTCTCCTTCCTTCTTGGCCCTCTTTTCTTCCCTGTTTCTCTATCACCTGGTCTGCCTAGGGGAATGAGTGTACACTTCTACTATAACTTCTCTGTGGTCCTGACCCAGTCCAAAGGGGAGCCTTAATAGAGCCCCTAGGCAAGAGACTTGATTTAGGGCTTACCAGGCCCACTGGCCTAGCTTGCTCGGGCTGACATGAGTCTGAATCTGCTCCTGCTTCTTCCTGTCTCCTCTGCCCAGGTGGGCACATTCCGCATGGTTCCAGAAGAGGAACAGCAGCTCCACTGCCAGATGGAGAGGCTCACAACCAAGGACCATGGGCCTGTCTTTGGCCAGTGTAACCAGCTGCCCCGACATACCTTGCAGAAGGTGAGGTGGCCCAGGGTGCAGGGAGAGGCAGGCTAGGGAGGCAGCATGGGAAGAACATTGACAGCATCCTCTCTGCTATAGAGAGGTTTATTTCTAGTTCTCCAGATCACCCTGGTGGTTTGTTCTTGGGGCCATCCTAGAGGTCAGAGCCATGGTAGGGACTGGGCTGAGCAGATACCCAGGACAGCCTAGCCCAAGGATACAGCACCAACATACCAACAAATTCTCGGAAATCAGTGCCAGGGCCTGGGGCCTCCACAGGCCAGAGATCAACCTGGATTCAGACATGAGGAGCAATGGTTTAGAAGAGACCCTGAGGGACAAGATCCAACTGTTGCCCCCACTATGCAATCAAGAAGCATGGATTTCAGAACCACACCCACCCCAACTTGCTGTGTGACCTTGAGCAAGTTGCTTTCCCTCTCTGTGTCTCACTTTCTGTACCTATGAAGGAAGATGGTTGGACTAGCTCAAACGTTACCAGACTGCTCTCTGGAGGTTGGCAGAGCTGTCGTGGGGCCACTGGGAGGATGAGGTGGGATGGAGCTGAGCTTGGGCTTCTGGCTTCCCTGTGCGCCACCCCCACCCCCACCCCCGCGCCCCCATCTATCTCATGGCAGTACTACCATTGATTTATAAGAATCTCTGTCCTGGGTGATTTCTTTTTTTTTTTTCTTTTTAAATTTTTATTGTGATTTGGGTGAAAGTTTACAGAGCAAATTCACTTTCCATACAGCAGCTCACATACACTTTATCTCATGACATTGACTGCAATTTCCCACAATGCAAGAACTCCCCTCCCACTTCCTCCCCATAGTTACCTCTTCCCTGTGTCCTTCCTTCCATGTATTCCTGCCCCCACCAAGGTGTCTCCCTGTGCACACACAGCCCTTCTATTCTCCCATGATTAATCTGTCCGAGGAATGTATCTACCTAATGTAAATGTTCAGCTCATATGCCTGTCTTTTGTTTGGCTGGAAGCCACAGATGTGGGTTCAGTTCCAGAACTAAAGGGCGGCAGCTAGAGGCCATAGTCTCAGTGGTTCCATCAGGCTCTATCAGACCAGCAAACCTGGTCCCCCCCACCCTTTTTTTTTAATGATTTTGAGTTTTGTTCCACATTGTTCTCCCACTCTATCTAGGACCTCCTACATAGATCCCCCTCCGAGTGGTTGACAGTGGTAGCCAGGCACCATCTAGTTCTTCTGGTCTCATAGTCATATAGACTGAGGATCACATGAAGTATCAGTTGCTTGGACTAATTATGTCCATGTGTCTTTAGTTTTTGTTCTGGTTACCTAGTGCTGCTCTGACAAGAATATACCACAAATGGGATGGCCTTAACAAACAAGAGTTTATTCTCTTACAGTTTGGAGGCTTTAAGTCCAAGTTTAAAGTGCCAGGTTCTAGGGGCACCTCAGCCTTGGGCTTCAGCTCTGCCTCCAGCTCCTGGCCCACCGAAGCTAGAGGCTTTTCTTCACTCAGACAGCTGCTGGCTGCTGAGGCTGCCAAGCCCAAGGTTGACAAGTAAAAAGGCACAGTCCCGATGTTTCCATACCACATGGGAGGACATTAATTCAAGTCCATTGTAAGTCCCCAGGTCGGCAGAGCATGGCAGGCTGCTGAACAATGACACAGCTACATGCAGGGTCCAAGTGTGCCATAAGCTAGAGACTATCCCTAAGGCTTCTCCTTATATATAGGAAGAAGACCACATCCCAAAGGCAGCTACTCAATTGCTTGTGGTAGATTCCACCATGGAGTTGATTGCTAGTCTCATCATGGGAAATTACCACCAGCTGCCCAGCCACTCAACCAGGTCCAGCCAAGTTGACATACAAATTTAACTACCATAATTTTCTTCATTTTCCTTTGTTTTGGATAAGGAGAGACCATCGTTGCATCTAGATATCTGCTTGCAAGCTTTTAGGATCTGGCCTGGGTGATTTCTGAGGGCCTTGCCCTCTGGGCATCTAAAGGGGAAGGCTTTATTAGCGTCGCCCTTACCTGGTTTCCCCTTCTCTGCCTCTACCTTTTCCTGTCATGCTGTGGAAGGAGAGGGTTGCTGATGCCTGAGACACACTCTGATGAGTTCTGGACCAGCAAGGGGAAGCATGCCCTCTGGCGGGCAGGCTGCCATCTGCCGGGTAGTTTTGTTTTTGAAAAGTCAAAATGAACCTGGGAGGGAGCAGAATGAAATCATTAAAAGTATACCTGACTAGAAGTCCCAGCTTCACCCCTTTCTATCTGGGTGAAGATTCTTCAGCTCTATGAGCCTCAATTTATTCATTTGGGAGATGGGGATAAAAATACCACTGTGATGGGTTGTGGCAAAGATTAAAACATATAATGTATTTAAATGATTTAGCAGGGTGTTAAATAAGAGCTCAGTAAGTATAAGCTGTTATTATTAGAAACATTTCAGCTGTTGGCTATACCCTGCAAACAAACCTACCATGAGCAAATCCGTTGCCATCAAGTTGATTGCTGTTGAATCTATTTCAATTCATAGCGACCCTATAGGACAGAGTATAACTGACCCACAGGGTTTCCAAGACTGTAATCTTTATGGAAGGAGCTCTGGTAGCATAGTGCCTAAGGCACTTGACTGCTAACCAGAACTCTGGCTGTTCAAACCCACCAGCCACTCCTCAGAAGGAAGGTTGGGCAATCTACTTCCGTAGTGATACTGCCTCAGAAACCCAAGGAGGGGTTGCTATGAGTGGAGTCTGACTGATGGCACATAACAACAATAATCTTTATGGAAGTAAACTGTCACACCTTTCTCCTGAGGAGCACCTGGTGGGTCTGAACTGCTGACCTTTTGGTTAGCAGCCCAGTGCTCTAACTAGTGTGCCACCAGGGCTCTCATCTACCATGAGCAATTTCACCTCTTTTTGCCCAAATATCATAATCTGAGATGCTGCTAGTGCAGATGCTGCCCTTGTGGCAGAACAGTGGTAGTCCCAGTGCAGACCCTTTAGCAGGTCTGGCGCAAGTAGGAGACTCACCACATATACGTCCTGCTCTTCCACCATAGCTACCCATGACTTGGCCTCCACACCCTTCCTTGTTCCAGGCCAAGGACGAGCTGAACGAGCGAGAGGAGACTCGATCAGGTGTGGTGCGAGAACTGCAGGAGCTGGTGCAGGAGCAGGCGGCTGCTGGGGAGGAGCTGGCCCAGGCAGTGGCCGAGAGGGTACAGGGGAGGGACAGCTCCTTCTTCCTGCGCTTCATCCGTGCGCGCAAGTTCAACGTGAGGCGCGCATACGAGCTGCTCAGAGGTGAGGCCTGAGCTGGAGGGGCAGCCCCGGGAAGAGGAGGGAGGGATCATGAGGACACTGTTCACCCTCACTCAGGCACTGAGCGGGGGACTCTTTTCCCTCCTGTGGGCAAGTCACTTTCTCTGAGCCCCATATCTTCCATACCTGTAAAGTGTGAGGTATGAACTGAATGACCTCCAAGATCTCTTTCCCTGCAGCAATGAATGAATAAATGAGTCTGTCAGGACCAGATTCCTGCAGGCCTGGCTCCTTTCTCCTCTTTCCCAGTCTTGGGACTCAATGAGTAGAACTGGATCATCAAAATCAGTTACCCAGTGAGGGCCCAGCCACTGGGCCCTCAAAGCCTAGGCTTTAACTCTGGAATGCTGCAGGCAAGATGGGTGTTTGCTTTGCTCCTCATAAGTACATAAATCTCATGAAAATGGACTTGAAGATGGTGCCAAACTTGGAATGAGCCCTGAAGTCAGAACTTCCTGGTCTTGCTGGTTGGCTGAAGACTAGTTTCCTAAGGAAATCAAGTCCTTGGTGCTGGGGGAGCAGTGGGATATCTTGGCAGACCCTGAAGGCTAATATTCATTTTCTTACTTCTTCCCTTGTTCCTCAAATGTTAATTCAGTGCCATACTTTGCCAACGCAGAGATGCAGCAAAGAACAAAACAGACAGGAATCCCCTGCCTTTGTGGAACTTACATTTTAATGGTGGAAATTTGAAACTAGCTACATAAAATAAAAATAGATAATGGTAAGGGATAAGGAGAAAAACACAAGAAATAGATATAAAGGATTAAGGGATTGAAGTTTTAGGTAACCAGGAAGGTCCCAGTTGCAAAGAGAACTTTTCAAGAAAGATCCAGAGGAAATGAGGGAACTGGCCACACAGATAATTGGGAAGAACAATCCAGGCAGAGGGAATAGCAAACAGAAAGGCCAGGCCAGTGTTCTGGAGGTCACTGTGGCACTCCAAAGACAAATACTGTCTGAACACCTCTTCCAGGCTTGGCTAGGAGCCCAAGTTTGGTGATAGAGACAGCTGACCTGTTCAGGATAGGAAAAGATGGGCCTTGTGGGTAGTAGAAGGGGTTCTGTGTTCCACTTGGAGTTTGCACTTTATCTTGGTATCTACCCCTCAGCTTTGCCCTCATATACCAGTGCCCACACCCCACTAGGTTAACCTTGTGCCCAGTAGGAACACCCATGTCTTGTGTCCATAGGAAAGAGAAAATAACAATATTTAGGATTACACCTGATATCTGCAGTTTCCGAATGATGTTCACATTAGAGTCTTGTCTGATTACCACAACAACTTGTTGAGATAGGACAATATCCCATTATCAACCCAATTTCTGGAGGGGAAATATGGGGCTCAGAAAGGTTTAGTGTCCTGCTTGATCACACATAGGATTTTATATGGAGGTGCCAGGCAGGAGCCCCGTCTCTGGACTCCTACTGTGTGCCACTCCAGGAGGTGAAGTAGGGTAAGGGAGGGAGAGGCTGCTCCCTGAGGGGAGCTCCTCTGCATTCCCTTCCCCAGGCTATGTACACTTCCGGCTGCAGTATCCCGAGCTCTTTGACAATCTGTCCTTGGAGGCTGTCCGCTGCACCATTGAGGCCGGCTACCCTGGTGTCCTCTCCAGTCGGGACAAGTATGGCCGAGTGGTCATGCTCTTCAACATTGAGAACTGGGACTGTGAGGAAATCACCTTTGATGAGGTCAGTGGGGACTTGTCTGGCTCCTTCCCACCCCAGAGGCCAACCCTGACCTCTATTGGACCCTCATTTCTGGCTCCCCAGAAGTTGAGATCTGTGGGGGGAAAAGCAGACATTCACCTACCACCAAGCCCTTTCCTGGCATGGGGAGAATTCCTAGGATCTGCAGGGGAAGCTGGAAAACCCAGCAGCTTTATAGACTGGGCCCAATGGGCAACCCATGGCTGCTCCTGGTATCTCCACCAAAAGTAGGTGACAGCTGTGGCCAGAAAGCGGGTGGGGGAACTGCCAAATGCTGAAAGCTGAGAGCAACAGAGAGAACAAGGATTAGTGGACTATGGGCGGGAAGAAATTCTAAAAGGCAGGGGTTCCAACCCTACTGCAAAAAAAGGGGACTGAAACCCAGAGAGGTTGTACCTAGCTTGCCCAAGGTCACACAACTGAGAATGGGGATTGGCATCCACGGGCTGTGACTCCCATGAGTTCTTTGTATTCATATATGTAAAAAAAACAAAAACACCAAACTTAACTGTCATCAAGTCGATTTCAACTCATAGTGACCACCATTGGGTTTCCGACGAGGTAAATCTTTAGTGAAGTAGATTGCCCCATCTTCCTTCCGTGGAGTAGCTAGTGGGTTAGAACCGCTGATCATATATCTCACTGCCATTGAGTCGGATCGACCTATAGTGACCCTTCCTTGGGTTTCCAAGGTGGTATCACTATGGAAGTAGATTGCCCAACCTTCTGTCTGGCTGGTGGGTTTGAACTGCCAGCCTTCTGGTTAGCAGTTAAGTGCCTTAAGCATACATACACACACACACACACACACACACACACATAAATATATATATATATAGGGTCTACTATATAAGGAGCTCTGATGGCATAGTGCCTAAGGCATTTTTGTCACTGGTGCTCAGTGTGTCATATCTATTCAGATGGTCTCTAAATTCAGGTGGGATATAATCAAGATCATATTTTGGCTCTCATGGACTTATTTTAATTTTCTTCAGTTTCAACTTGCATATGACCTATTGATGGTCTGTTCCGCAGTCAGCTCCTGGCCTTATTTTGGCTGAAGATACTGAGCTTCTTCATCACCTCTTTCCACAGAGGTAGTAGATCTGATTCTGCATATTTCATCTGGCAAGGTCCATGTGTATAGCTGCTGTTTATGTTGTTGAAAAAAGGCATTTGCAATGAATAGGTCGTTTGTCTTGGAAAATTCTATCATGTGATCTCCACCATCATTTCTATCACCAAGCCCATATTTTCCAAAACTGATGACTCTTCTTTGTATCCAACTTTCACATCCAGCCACCAGTAATAATACATCTTGATTGAATGTTTGGTCAATTTCAGACTGCAGAAGTTGGTATCTTCAGTTTCCTCATCTTTGGCTTTAGTGGTTGGTGCATAAATTTGAATAACAGTGGTATTATCTGGTCTTCCTTGTAGACATATGGATGTTATCCTATCACTGACAGCATTGTACTCCAGTATAGATCTTGAAACTTTCTTTGTGATGATGAATGTGAAGCCATTTTTCTTCAATTTGTCATTCCTTGCATAGTAGACTATATGATTGGCTGATTCAAAATAGCCAGTATCAGTCTATTTCAGCTCACTAATACCTAGGATATTGATCTTTATGTGTTCCATTTTATTTTTGACAACTTCCAATTTTCCTAGACTCATACTTCATATATTCCATGTTCCAATTATTAATGGATGTTTGCAGCTGTTTCTTCCCATTTTGAGCCATGCCCTGTGAGCAAATGAAGATCCTGAAAGCTTTACTCCATCCATGTCATTAAGGTTAACTCTACTATGAGGAGGCAGCTCTTCCCCAGGCATATTTTGAGTGACTTTTGACCTGAGGGGCTCATCTTGTGGCACTACAGCAGACAACATTTTAGGGCTATTCATAAAATTTTCCAGTAATATATCAGACAGTGTTTCAGTGCTATTCATAAGGTTTTCACTGGCCATATTTTTCAGAAGTGGATGGCCCCTCCTTCTTCCCAGTCTGTCTTAGTCTGGAAGCTCTGCTGAAACCTGTCCACGATGGGTGACCTTGTTGATGTTTGAAATACCCATGCCATGGCCTCCAGCATCACAGCAACACACAAGACACCACAGTACAACAAACTAACATTACAGAGATGCTAATCAGAACAACAATGAGATATCATCTCATCCCAGCACTTAATAGCAAAGTTCAAAAAAACAGAAAACAACAAATGCTGACAAGGGTGTGGAGAGACTGGAACTCTCATATGCTGCTGGTGGGACTGTAAAATGGTGCATCCATTGTGGAAAATGGTACAGTGCTTCCTTAAAAAGCTGGAAATAGAAATATAACTAGTGGTAGGATTCAGCAATGGCACTGCTAGGTATATATCTTAGAGAAATAAGAGCCATGATGTGAACAGATTTATGCATACCTATGTTCATCATACCATTAATAACAATAGCAAAAAGTTGAAAACAGCCTAAATGCCCATTAATGGAGGAGTGGATCAAGAAACACAATGGAATATGACACAATGTTAAGGAACAATGATGAATTTTTGAAACATTTCCTAACGTGGATGAACTTAGAGGCCATTATGCTAAGTGAAATTAGTCAATCACAAAAGGACAAATATTATATGAGACCACTATTGTAAAAAGTCAAGAAAAGGGTTTCACAAAAAGAGAAATACTCTTTGGTGGTTACCAGGTGTGAGTAGGGAAGGCAGGCTAAACCACTAACTAGAGGGTAGACACATATATTAACTTGGGTGAAGGAAAAAAAGAAAAAAAAATCCTATTGAGCATAGTTCTATTTTGACATAAATGGGGGCACCATAAGTCAGAATTGACTCCAAAAGAGATAAACACACACACACACACACACACACACACATTTTTCTCAAATGCATTAAGCATTGTGCTAGATGTTGGGTATATAATGTATTCCTTCCCTCATGAGAAAAGAAAGAGAAAGAAATTAAACAGTACTAGTTTCTTGTGCTTCTGATGTTAACATATGAAAACTCTATGGAGCACAGTTCTACTCTTACACACATGAAGTCACCATGAGTCATGGTTGATTCACTAGCAACTGGTTGATTGTTTGGTAACTTATGGTACGTATTCTATAGCAGTTAAAATGATATAGACTAATGATAAAGGAAAATATTCATGGTAAATTATGTAAAAAAACACATTAAAAATCATATGTAGGGTCTGATCTTATTTTTACAAAAAAAAAATATTTATATATGTCTAGGGAAAGATGAAATTTGGAAGACTGCTACCTGGCCAACTGACTGGAAGAGATACATATTTATGCCCATTCCTAAGAAGGGTGATCCAACAGAATGTGGACATTATCAAATAATATCATTAATATCATATGCAGGTAAAATTTTGCTGAAGATAATTCAAAAATAGTTGCAGCAGTATATTGACTGGGAACTTCCAGAAATTCAAGCTAGATTTAGAAGAGGACATGAAATGAGGGAAATCACTGCTGATGTCAGATGGAGGTTGGCTGAAAGCAAAGAATATCAGAAAGATGTTTACCTGTGTTTTATTGACTCTACAAAGGCATTTGATCATGTAGATCGTAACAAATTATCGATAACATTGCAAAGAATGAGAAGTCCAGAACACTTAACTGTGCTCATGAGAAACTTGTACATAGACACAGAGGCAGTCATTTGAACAGAACCAGGGGATACTGCATGGTTTAGTATCAGGAAGGGTGTGCATCAGGGCTATGTCCTTTCACCATACTTATTCAATCTGTATGCTGAGCAAATGATCTGAGAAGCTGGACTATATGAAGAAGAATGCAGCATCAAGATTGGAGGAAGACTCATTAACAACCTGTGATATGCAGATGACACAACCTTACTTGCTATAAGTGAAGATGACTTGAAGCACTTACTGATGATCAAAGACTACAGCATTCAGTACAGATTACACATCAACATGGAAAATACAAAAATCTTCACATATGGCCCAATAAAGCAACATCACGATAAATGGAGAAAAGATTGAAGTTGTCAGGGATTTCATTTTACTCAGATCCACAATCAACACCCATGGAAGCAGCAGTCAGGAAATCAGATACATTGCACTGGGAAAATCTGCTGCAAAAGACCTCTTTTAAGTGTGGAAGAGCAAAGATGTCACTTTGGAGACTAAGGTGTATGTGATAGTTCAGTTTGTGTGTCAACTTGGCTGGGCCTGGTTGAGTAGATGAGCAGCTGGATGTAGCATTCCCCATGATGAGACTGGTAATCAACTGCATGGTGGAATCTACTGTGAGCAGCTGAGTAGCTGCCTTAGGGATATAGTCTGCTTCCTGTATATAAGGAGAAGACTTGGGGAACAGTCTAGCTTTTGAAACGCTTTAACCCTGCATGTAACTATGTCGGTGTTCAGCAGCCTGCCATGCTCTGTCGACCTTGGGACTTCCAATGGACTTGAATTAATGGCCTACCATGTGGTTTGGTAACATCAGGACTGTGTCCTTTCACTTGTCAACCTTGGGCTTATCAGTATCAGCAGCCAGTAGCTGTCTGAGTGAAGAAAAGCCTCCAGCTTCAGTGGGCTGGGAGCAGGAGGCAGAGCTGAAGCCCAAGGTTGAGGGGCTTTCACCTAGCCCCTAGGGCCTGGCACTTTGAACTCAGATTTAAAGCCTCCAAACTGTCAGTGAATAAGCTCCTGTTTGTTAAAGCCATCCCATTTGTGGTTTATTCCTGTCAGAGCGGCATTAGGTAACCAAAACAGTGTACCTGACCCAAGCTGTGGTATTTTTAATAGCCTCATATGCATGTGAAAGCTGGACAATGAATAAGGAAGACTGAACAAGAGTTGATGCCTTTGAATTACGGTGTTGATGAAGAATATGGAAATACCATGGACTGCCAGAAGAATGAATAAATCTATTCTGAAAGAAATGCAGCTGGAATGCTTGCTGGAAGTGAGGATGGCCAAACTTC